AAGGCCTAGTAGAGTCTTGTGGATCGATGCGGAGACGTCCGTACTTATCTTTAAGAGGATATAGGGTGTTAGGAAACTTCTCTTTCTTCATTTCCTATCGTAAGTTGATATTATGCTAAGTATATTTCTATTAATCTCTCACAGATGGTGAGAACGCACATGAAGGATGTGCCAGGAGGTAGAGGGGCTGCTCCCCCCATTGCTAGATGCCGAGGCATAGGTCGAGGGAAAGCTCCAGCTCCAGTCAGAGGACGAGGGTGCCCTAGGGTTACTCCTATTATACCACTAGTGGATCTAGTGGAGGATCCTGATGTTGAGGAGTAGGATGAGGCGCCTACAGCTGTGCCAGCCCTAGCAGATTTCATGACTGCGCTGGGATTCCAGGAGGTCATGGGCCACATGCTGCGGTTCATGGACTCTATGACGCATGCTAGTTTATTTCCAATGGTCCCTGCCACATCTCAAGCGGAGGGGGAGCACTGACCCCTACCGCTCAGGCTCCAGGGTATGCCGCTGCCGTTTATCAGACCCAAGTGCACTATCTACAGGTGGTGCTCAGCCTGTTGTAGCAGTTATGCCAGAGGTTGTACCAATCGCGACCATTTATCAACAAAAGCCGCTGGACAGATGGACTGGACCTCACTTCAGAATATGGGGATATTGGAGTCCTACGGGGTGGACTTCACCACCTTTCAGCTTGAGGGCAAGGCCCGCAGATGGTGGCCGGCTTACCTTCTTAATCAGCCAGCAGGTTCACCTCATTTGACTTAGGATTTATGCATCTATTCTTGGAGAAGTACATACCACCTTCTAAGAGAGAGGAGCTTCGGGGTCAGTTTGAGCGACTCTGTCAGGGTCACACATCTATCACCGACTATGAGGCGAGGTTCACTGACTTGTCTCGCCATGCAGCTATTATACTCCCCACAAATGTAGAAAGGGTGTGGAGTTTCATTGTAGGTCTGCACCCTAATATTCAGGCTCCTATGCCCCGTGAGGTAGAGATGGGGACTTCCTTTCTTTAGGTCGTGGATATAGCTCGGAGGATCGAGCGTATCCGCAACCTCAGTGGAGAGTTTGTGCCGAGGGATAAGCAGCCCTAGCAGTTTGGAGGCTTCAGTGGTGCCCTACCTGGGGGCAGAGGTCAGCTCATGAGGGGTCAGCCCAGCAGGCCCGTGTAGTCAGCACCAGCGCCTTCTCGGAGTGCCCCAGCACGACCCTATTTCAGTGTCATTCCCGAGAGTACTTACCGCCCGCCAGCTATTTAGGGCTCCTCTAATGGGTATTCCGGCCATCAAGGTCAGACTTCAGGTCAGCAATCCACCATTCAGAGGGGTTGTTTCAAGTGCGGGGATCTTGGCCATGTGAAGAGGTTTTGTCCCAAACTTTGGGGCGAGGCCAAGTAGCAGGACTATTGGTCCATGCTTATCGCACCAGCTACCAGACTGCCTGCCTGCCCGGCCAGAGGGCAGGTGGCCAAGGGTTTTCCTAGAGGTGGAGGCTAGTCAGGTGGCGCTCCGGCTAGATTCTATGCTACCCCTCCAGGCCAGAGGCAATCGCCTCTGATGCAGTGATCACAGGTACTATTTATGTCTACCGTAGGGATGCCTCGGTATTATATGATCCAGGGTCTACTTACTTCTACGTTTCCTCTATATTTGCTCCTTATCTGGATGTGTCCCATGAGTCATTGGGTGTTCATGTATATGTGTCCATGCTAGTGGGTGATTCTGTTATTGTGCATCAGGTCTATCGGTCCTGTGTGGTGACTTTCTATTGGTACGAGACCCAAGTCAGATCTTCTATTGCTCGATATGGTTGATTTTGAGGTTATCTTGGGCATGGACTGGTTGTCCCCATACCATGCCATTCTTGATTTTTATGCCAAGACTGTCACCTTGGCGATGCCTAGTTGCCTAGATTAAAGTAGAGGGGTTTGTCTGTCGGTACTTCCAGCCGGGTTATTTCTTTCTTGAAGGATCGACATATGTTTGAAAAGTGTTTTTTGGCCTACTTCGCATTTGTTTGGGATATTGACTTTGGCATTGATTTGGTGCCAGGCACCCCGCCTATTTTTACCTCGCCTTATCGTATGGCTTCCAGGGAGCTTAGAGAGTTAAAGGAGCAATTTTAGGAGTTGCTTATGACGGGTTCATTACACCTAGTGTGTTGCCTTGGTACACACCAGTGTTGTTTGTGAAGAAGAAGGAGGGGAGTATGTGGATGAGCGTTGACTACCGCCAGTTGAACAAAGTCACCATTAAGAACAAGTACCCGTTGTCGCGTATTGATGATTCATTTGACCAGTGGCAGGGTGCCAGGGTGTTCTCTAAGATCGACATGAGATCTGGGTATCATCAGCGGAAGATTCATGCTTCAAATATTCCAAAGATGGCTTTCCGGACTAGATATGGCCAATATAAGTTTTTGGTGATGTCCTTCGACTTGACTAATGCCCCGGCAGTATTCATGGATTTGATGAATCGAGTTTTCAGACCGTATCTTGATTCATTTGGCATTGTCTTCATTGACGGCATATTGATCTACTCCCGTAGTATGGAGGAGCACGAGCAGCATTTGAGATTAGTGTTTCGGACCTTGCGGTAACGGAAGCTTTATGCTAAGTTCTATATGTGTGAGTTCTGGTTGGATTCTGTGGCTTTCTTGGGGCATGTTGTATCAGGTGAGGTCATTAAGGTGGATCCCAGGAAGATTGAGGCAGTTCAGGGTTGGCCTCGTCCTACCACTACGACAGAGATCAGGAGTTTCTTGGGGTTAGTAGGATATATCATCAGTTCATGGAGGGTTTCTCGTCTATTGTAGCTCCCTTGACTAGATTGACCCAAAAGGGTGCTCCGTTCAGCTGGTCCGATTATTGCGAGGCGAGCTTTTAGAAGCTCAAGTCGGCCTTGACAACAGCACCGGTTTTAGTGTTGCCTTCCGGTTCAGGGATGTATAAATGTGCATTGCGACGATTCACGCATTGGCCTAGGTTGTGTATTGATGTAGGAGGGGCGTGTTATTGCATATGCTTCACGTCAGCTGAAACCCCACGAGAAGAATTACCCTATGCATGATTTGGAGTTGGCCGCGATAGTTCATGCTCTCAAGATCTGCAGGCATTATCTTTATGGGGTGTCCTGTGAAGTTTACACCGATCATGGCAGCTTGCAGCATTTGTTCAAGTAGAGAGATCACAATTTGAGGCAGTGCAGGTGGCTTGAGTTACTAAAGGACTATGATATTACCATTCTCTATCATTTGGGCAAGGTGAATATGGTTGTAGATGCCTTGAGCAGAAAGGTTGAGAGTATGGGTAGTTTGGCATTTATTTCAGCAGAAGAGAGGTCGTTGGCTTTTGACATTCAGTCCTTAGCTAACAGACTTGTGAGGTTGGATATTTTAGAGCCCAATCAAGTTCTTGCATGCGGTGTGGCTCAATGTTCCTTACTTGAGCAATCAAGGCTCGTCAGTACGATGATCCGCACTTGTTGGTTCTCAGAGAGACGGTACTACAGGGTGGTGCCGAGGAGGTTACTATCAGTGAGGATAGTGTCTTGCAACTCCAGTGTCGCCTATGTGTTCCTATTGTTGATGGCTTACGAGAGAGAATTCTAGAGGAGGCGTGCAGTTCTTGTTATTCTATTCATTTGGGGCTACGAAGATGTATCGCGATCTGAGGCAGCATTATTGGTGGCGGCGAATAAAGAAGGACATAGTTGAGTATGTGGTGAGATGTCTAAACTGCCAGCAAGTCAAGTATGAGCACTAGAGGCTAGGTCGCCTACTCCAGCAAATGGTTATACTAGAATAGAAATGGGAGAACATCACTATGGACTTCGTTGTTGGGTTACCGCGGACATTGAGGAAGTATTATGCTGTTTAGGTCATTGTCGATAGGCTGAATAAGTCGGCACATTTTATTTCGGTGGTGACTACATTCTCTTCAGATAGGTTGGCCTAGATTTACATTCAGGAGATTGTTCGGATGCATGGTGTGTATGTTTCCATCATATTAGATAGAGGCCCTCAGTTCACGGCCGGGGAAAGTTTATTGGCAAGAGGGAACCATTTCTCACCCAGCCCTACCTACCCTATGTATTCGAGGGAGAGGCTGGAACCGAAAAAGACCAGATTCCACACATATGAGACAGGCAGAAGGTATGGGACGAGCAGTTTCTTGAAGAGTGAATTCGATCCTATAGTCGTCTTCTTTGTTCAAAAAATGCACAGTGGAAAGGGATGCTAGTCGGCTCGGCGAAGTTGTAGCCCAAAAAGAGAAGATCCAGAGTGATTCCTCACCTATCCTGTCAGGGGCCCAGTGGAACGCTCGAGTATAGATTCCCTATGCTCATGTAAACGGCCGTGGCCGGCTGGCCCGTAGATCTAAAAGGATCCAGCCATAGGCCTAACCAGATATCGTTTGTCCACAAACAAAACAAAAACAAAGTTGGTTTTTAGTAGTAGTTCATGAGACCTCGAATTCCCACGTTCCAGCATGCCTATCTTGGTGGTCGTTACTTTTGGTGGTCTTTCTTTTTGGTCCTCTTCTTGTTCTATTGATCAGAAGCATCCAGCAGCACCACTACTTCGCATTTCTGGAGGGAAGTACAGAGTGAGTTGGGTACCCGAGTAGAGCTCAGCACAGATTTTCATCCGCAGATCGACGGGCAAACGGAGAGGATATTCAAATTCTAGAGGATATGCTCAGAGCATGTGTCATCGAATTTGGAGGTCAGTGGGATAGATTCTTGCCCTTGGCCAAGTTTGCTTACAACAACAGTTATTAGTCCAGCATCGAGATGGCTCCATTTGACGCTTTATATGGTCGGCAATGTCGTTCACCCATTGGATGGTTTGAGCCCAGCGAGGCTAAGTTATATGGTACTGATTTAGTACAGGATGCCTTGGAGAAGGTAAAGTTGATTCAGGAGCTGCTTCGCACATCACACTCCAAGCGGAAGAGTTACGCGGATCAGAAGGCGCGTGATTTATCATTCATGGTGGGCGAGAAGGTTCTCCTAAAAGTCTCACCAATGAAGGGCATCATGAGGTTCAGGAAGAAGGGCAAGTTGAGCCCAAGGCTTATTGGCCCGCTTGAGGTGTTGAGGAAAGTTGGGGAGGTTGCTTATGAGCTTAGTTTTCCTCCCAGCCTACCAGGAATTCATCCGGTCTTTCATGTGTCTATGCTCTGGAGGTACCATGCCGATAGGTTGCACGTACTAGATTACAGCACGATTCAGCTAGATGAGAGTCTGGGTTATGAGGAGGATCTAGTTTCCATTCTTGACCGGCAGGTTTGCCAGTTGAGGTCCAAGAAGATTATTGTGGTAAAGGTCCGATGGAGGGGTCAACCAGTCGAGGAAGCAACTTGGGAGGCCGAGGAGGACATAGGGAGTAGATATCCACACTTATTCAGCACTCCAGGTATGGTTCTAAAGCCATTCGAGGACGAACGTTTGTTTAGGAGGTGGAGAATGTAATGACCCGATCGGTCTTTTTACATTCTAGATCCCCGTTCCCCTAAATAAGATTCCCCGTATGTGCTTTTACTGCTTTACGACTTGCGGGGATGGTTGTTTTAGGTTTGGAAAGGGTCGGGTTGAAATCAGACCACTTAGTTCCTTAATATTGGCCTATAATGGTCAAGTTTGACTTGAATCAATGTTTTAAGTAAACGACCTTGGAACCGGGATTTGAAGGTTCCAATACGTTCGTATGATGATTTTGGACTTGGGAGTACGAATGTTGATTCGGAGGTCCGTAGGTCATTTCAGCTTGAATTGGCGAATGTTAGAAAGTTGAAGGTTTTGAAGGTTGACAAGTTTGATCAGGAGTTGACTTTATTAATATCGGGGTCCTATTTTGATTCCGGAAGTTGGAAAAGGTTCGTTATGCCATTTATGACTCCTACGCAGAATTTGGCGTCATTCCGAGTTGATTTGATAGGAATCGGATGCGCGGAAGTGTTTCTAGAAGTTCTTGAGTTTCATTATTTAATTCATGCATTTTGGCGTCCAATTCGTGATTCTAGATGCTATTTTGGTGTTTCGATCGCGCGAGCGCGTTCGTATGGTGTATTTAGACTTGTGTGGATGTTTGGTATGAAGCCCGGGGGCTCGGTGAGTTTCGGACGCATTCGGAGGGGTGGAGGAACTTCGGTTTTTCTAGGTTTTTTTCCTGGTGCCTCAGGTATCGCAAATGCGAGGTTTTGTTCGCATTTGCGAACCTCGCTTTTGTGATGAAACCTGGGCGAGGAAGGATTCGCATTTGCGAACTTTTTCTTCGCTTTTGCGATCAGCCCAACTTCGCATTTGCAAAGTTTCTGGTCGCAATTAAGACCTTGGTAGAAATGGTCAGACTTCGCAATTGCGATGCTTTTATTGCATTTGCGAACCAAATTTCGCAAATCCGACATCTGCAATTGGTGCAAGGGCTTTTATTACGGGACTTAGGCCTTTTTCTTCACATTTTCATTTGGTCTTGGGAGATTTTGAGAGAACTTTAGAGGGGGATTCTCATCTACAATACAAGGTAAGTAAATTCCACCCACTTTCAAGTTAAATACGCAGATTATGAGTAGATTGAACATGGAAAATTTGTGAAAACTTGTGGGATTTGTGGAGAACCTAGGGTTTTGGTAAATTTGGAATTTGATCACGAACTTGGTGGTGGAAATGGGAGCAAATTATATATTTGAGTTCGAGAGTTCATGGGTAGCATTTATCTTCTAAAATTTCCGGAATCCGGGCATGTGGCCCCGGGGTTGAATTTTAGGAATCTTCCAATTTGGGTTAGGTAATTACTCTAATAGCTAAATTATGAACTTTTGAGCAAATATTTACTAGTTTAGAAGACTTTTGATTAGTTTCGGAGTTCTCGGCGTCGTTTGGAGAGTGCTAGTGAGGTTAGAGAGCCAGATTGAGGATTTGGAACCGAGGTAAGTCTCTTGCCTAACCTTGTAAGAGGGAACTTATCCCCTTAGGTGTATTGTTGTTATGTTCTACTTGTGTGGTTAGCTACATGCGCACGAGGTGACGAGAGCCTGTACGCAGCTATATTTCATGTTATGTTCGGGTAGACTTATATTCACCTTATGCTTTTAAACTGTTTATGCCTATCATGTGTATTAATTGTCTTGATTAGAGCTGCGACTGGGGATTTAAATGTGAATTATCGACTTAGTTTCTTATTTCAGAAAATTGGGGAATACTTGTTAAACTACAAAAATCCATGTCTTCTCGTCTCCCAAGTACTTCCGCGAGCGAGGTAAATTTCTCTACTCTAATAGGATAGGGCCATTCGCCTCGGCAGTATGATAACACCACTCTTATGGGATCGGGTCGTTCGCTTTGGCAGTATGATAACACCACTCTTATGGGGTCGGGTCGTTTGCCTCTGCAGTATGATAACACCACATCTTATGGGATCAGGTCGTTCGCCTCGGCAGTATGATGATAACACTATTCTTATGGGATCGGTTTGTTCGCCTCGGCAGTACTAAATACTACTATTCTTATGGGGTCGGGCCATTTGCCTCGGCAGTTTCGTGCTTAATAATCGAAACGGGTTCTGGTTTGGGTATTATTGTGTTAGACTCCTGAGTTGATTTACTGTAGTTTCTCTTATTTGCTTCATTGATACTTGTTGTACACTTACCATGTCTACTTTACGCATTTATATTGTTATTATTTGACCTCTAGCAAGTGTCAAGTCGACCCCTCGTTACTACTTCATCGAGGTTAAACTAGATACTTACTAGGTACGCGTTCTTTTCTGTACTCATGCTACACTTCTGCACTAATGTGCAGGTACTGAGACATGTTCTACCAGTGGTCACGCGGGCGCGTAGGCGGTCATTCATGAAGACTTGGTGGTGAGCTGCTTGCCTTGCTACGATCCGCAGCACCGGAGTCTCGCTCTACCATATTTACTATTCTATCTATCACTTTCAGACAGTAGTTGTAGTAGTTTTGTATATTCCCTAGATTTCTCATGCACTTGTGATGCTGGGGTTTGGGGGATCTTTATCATTTATGTACTGCAATATAATCATTTCTTTCACCACTATGGATGTTCTTATTCTGATGGTACTATGTTTCAAAGAGATGTTACGGTTGCATGAAATCTAGTTTAAACTGTTCTCTCAAAAGGAAAACTTCAGTTTTAAAATTGTTAAAAAAATAGGTAAATAAATAGTAGTTTCACTCGTGGGCTTGTCTAACGGTGGTGTTAGGTGCAGTCATGACCTACTACGATTTGGGTCGTGACATATGCATTGTGGTTAAGCCTAGTGTCAAGCTAAAAGGAAGCCACTTGGTAAATTTAGGACAATATTAATAATTAGAAGTTACAAAAGCGTAACGACTCGACCGGTCATTTTGAGCATTTGCACTTCGCCCGGTGGTTTGAGGGCATAAGAAGCACCGTATGAGGTATTACGACTTTTTTGTATCGTCGATTTCGGTTTTCGGGTGATTCGGAATTAGTTTAGAAGAATGAATTTCATTGTTAAAGCATTAAGTTAGAAGAGTTAACCAAGTTTGACTTTTGTGTGTTTGACCCCTGATAGGAGTTTTTATGGTTCTGTTAGGTTCGAATGGTGATTTTTGACTTGGCGGTATGTCCGGGTTCGTATTTGGACATTTTTAGAAGGTTTCGGCACATTTTGGTGAAAATAAGAAAGTTGAAGGTTTGGAAGGTTGAGAGGTTTGACCAGGAGTTTACTTTGTTGATATCGGATTCAAATTTCGATTCCGGGAGTTGGTATAGCTCTGTTGTGTCATTTGGAACTTGCATGCAAAATTTGACATCATTCCGGATTGATTTCATATGATTCGATGCGAGTTGTAGAAGTTGAAAGTTCAAAAGGTTATTAAGTTCGATTTGAGGTGCGACACATAGTTTTGACGTTGTTTGATGTGATTTGAGGCCTCGAGCATGTCCGCATTATGTCATGGAACTTGGTGGTATGTTCGGACGGGATCCGGGGGGCCGCAGGTGTGTTTCGCACGAGTTTCAGATCATATTGGGTGAGGCTGGTTTGGTCAGAGTTCTGGTGTGGTCGCACCTGCAGACCACTAGGCGCAGGTGCGATGGTGGCAGGTGCGGAGATGAAGGCGCTGAAGCGAGATGGCTGGGAGCTGGGGTTTTGCGCATCTGTGATGTCATTCCCGCAGATGCGGCTTCGCAGGTGCGAGTTGGTACGCGCAGGTGCAGACATGAGCTGGTTGCAAGTCTTCGCATGTGCAGATCATTTGAGCGCAGAAGTGCAAGCGCAGAGGTGCATTTGTGGTCACAGAAGAGACATTTGGCTCAGGTAAGGAAATTCTGCGGAAGCGGATTTTTGGCCGTAGAAGCGACATTTTGACCGCAAAAGCGGAAGTGCTGGGCAGAAAGGTTATAATTCAAGGGTTTGTCATTTCTATCATATTTTGAGTTGTAGACCTCGGCTTTGGGAGATTTTGGAGAGGTCCTTCACATGTTGCTTGGGGTAAGTGTTCTTTATCCCGAATTGATTACATTTCATGATTCCATAATTATTTTTATCATAAAATTAGTGAATTGAATGAAAGAAAATGGGAGTTTTTATAAATAATTCAAAATTTTAAAATGAGGATTTAAAGGAAGATTTGATGTCGGAATTTGATAAATTTTGTGTGGTTAGACCCGTATCATAATGGGTGTTAGGATTTATTAAATTTTGACGGGTTCCAAGGTGCGGGCACGGGGTTGAATTTTTGGGTTGACTTTTTAGTTTTAATTAAGTACCGAAGCTTTATTATCAGTAATTGTTTCCTGTGGGTTTTATTTATGACATTAAATTATTTTGGATAGATTTGAGCCGTACGGAGGTTGTTTCACAAGAGAAGGTCATTTTAGAGTATTGGTTTAGCTTCTTTGAGGTAAGAGTCTTGCCTAACTTTGTGTGGGGGAAACTACCCCTTAGGATTCGAGTTGATTGTGCTATTTGTGTCATGTGAAAGTCGTGTACGCAAGGTGACTAGGGGGTACACGGGCTATATATGGTATTTGACCGGTTTAGGTTATCTAGATTTTTTCCTTGCTTTTAATTGGATTGTCATGACGTGTTATGTCTCTCATTGTTAATCTACTCTACATGTTTTATTTGATGTTGTTAGCACGTATTGTACCGCTTTACTAGTTATTTTTTCCTTAAATGCTTTAGTTGAAGTTACTGCCTTCCTTATTGTCTTATTACCTTTTAATTGTTGAGTCCCTTCCATGACTTCGTGCCTATTTGCAACTTGTCTTAACGGTTTTACTTGCACACCTTAGTTTCCACGTGCTTTACTTGTCCTGTCATTTTTGTAATATTTGTTGCATTCCTTTGATTATTACGTGGTTCGTTTATTGGCGTGTACTCATACCCTTTGATTGTAGAAATTTTTGTAAATTGACTCATTGGATTGTTATTGTTAATTTAAATTGCTTGTGGATTAGGTTGCGCGCCACAACAGGTAAAATAAGGGAGGATTGTAATATAATGATATGGTGGGATCGGGTTGCACGCCTCAACGGGTGGAATAAGGGAGGATTATATGATATGCTAAAATAAGGGAGGATTTGATATTGATACAGTGGGATCGGATTGCACGCTGCAACGGATTTTATGTGTTATTCTTCATATTGATATGGTGAAATAAGGGAGGATTGTGTTTGTATGGTGGGATCAGGTTGCGCGCCGCAACGGGTTGTGTGCAGTGTATTCATTGCTGCGTCGTGTTAACTTTTAGTATTTATCATATGAGATTTTGAGGACTGATATCTTTGAATTTACTGATTTCGAGGATTGAGTTATTTTCATTAGTTTACTACCTTGCTGTCATTTCCTGTTTTCCTTCCCTATTATTATTATTTTTTTGGTGAATTGATTTTCAAGATGAATTTACTTTGCTAAGTCATTTTCTCATACTCTGTTGAGTTGTTAGTAACATAACGGTTTTAAGTGAAAGAATTTTTAACATGCTTATCTTACGTGATTCTTAAGTTGGAACTCGTCGTTTCATTCGATACTTTACTATTCTTAATATTTGTCATATTTTACTTTATTTGATTTCTTAAATTAAACTCCTTACGCCATCTGATGTTGTTACTTTACTTAAAAATTGTTATTATGTTTTCTTATCTCAACAAATTCTACATTTAATCGGGTAGACTATCCAATGAATCATTTTAATTGCAAATGCTATTTTCATTACCCAAATTATTTCCAAAACAAACTCATTTTCTTGTTTGATTCCCTACTTTATTCAAGATTGTTATTATGCTTTATTGTTTATAAATAAATCTCTTGAACATTTTAATTAGCATTTGACACGAACACAATGTACATGGTGGCACATGGGTTTTTGTCGTGAGAAAGTGGTTTTGGAAATAAAGTGGGCACAAGGTGCCATACTTGTAAGTTTTGAAAGTTATGACTTATCATTTGAGATTACGAGGAATGGTACCTCGGGTAATTCTTGTTGTAAATTGTGCATTAGGAACGATTTGGTTGATTGAGTTGTCATCTGTTTCTTTATTACCGTCTATTTCTTGTTACTACTCGTGCTTCTATTATTTTCGTTGTTGATTGTAAATTTTTGATCCTTCTATTATTGGTCTTACATTGATATTTTTTTCATTGTTAACTTTAAATTATATCATGCACAGGTTTACATATGCAGTAGGTGTCTTGACCTAGCCTCGTCACTACTCTACCGAGGTTAGGATTGATACTTACGGGGTACCGCTATGGTGTACTCATACTACGCTTCTGCATATTTTGTGTAGATCCAAGTACTTATGATCGAGTTGGTTTGAGACTTATGCCTGCGCGGCTGGAGACTTCAAGGTATACCTCGTTGACGTTCCAGGCTCCGAAGTCATCTTCTGTTGTCTTTTATTTCCATTGTTTCCTATTAATCCGGGACAGTGATGTATTGTTATCTCTAGTGACTCTTAGAGAAGCTTATGACTTGTACTACCTGTTCTGGGTGGATATTGTATCATGTTGAGATTGTTGGCTTATTATAGAAGCTTCTGTTTCATGCTTAATAGTTATTCGGTTAAAAAAATCTTTTTCTTAATTAGTAAGTGTCAGGCTTACCTAGTCTTTGAGACTAGGTTCCACCACTACATCATACGGAGGGAAATTCGGGTCGTGACAAGTTGGTATCAGAGCTTTAGGTTCATAGGTGCTACGAGTCATAAGCAGATTTAGTAGAGTCTTGTGGATCAGCATAGAGATGTATGTACTTATCTTCGAGAGGCAATGGAACTATTAGGAAACTTTGCATTTTTCATTCCTTATCGTGCGGCATTGATTCAGTTTGAAGCATATATCTTATATTCCTTTAAATGCACTCGTGTATGATATTGCGCATTCGATATCAACTATGCGCCGACGGTTTGTGATGTTGCGGGTGGGCTACGAGGGAGCCATGGATGCTCAAACATTGTCTCAACGTGTCATCCAGAGTGATGTTGCGGATGTATTGAGAGATCATTCAGTTATGCGTGTGGGGGTGCAGCGGGTTCTGGCATCCGGTTCATAAGTACGAACTTGGGAAGATTTAATTGGTTGCCTGATCGTCGCGATCGTGGTAGGGTCATGAGGTGGATGATGATTTGAGGATAGTGGGTGGTATTAGAGACTGTGTGGTTCATATGGGATTTCTGCTTAGTGGAAGGTGCATATTATCATTCAAGGCGTTGGAGGAAGCGAGTTTGACTGTCACGAAAAAGGATATGCTCTTAGTAAATGGTTTGAGGTATCTTATAATTGGTGTTGTGCGAGCTATGAAGGTTGGTGTAGTGGATCATCGAATGTTGTGTCCCACGGTTTCG